GCTTCTAAATGTTTCCTAATAGTTAATTATACTAATAATTGCTTCAAATTAAACCAAGATAAAAAAATCCTTTATAACAAGACCAATCAAATATCCTATATATACAATGTTCACCTGTCGTCTTATCTATCTTCAGACCTAAGGTAAATCAAATGATTTTACAAACAAAAAAAGCTAAAAATACTAGGTTTATATTAAAACAAATTGAGTGAAGCAATTATAATAAAAATAATTAAAAATGCTCCAGAGAAAAAAAATGTTAGGTTTGACCTAAAAACCACTACACATAGCCCAAGCAAAAGTCTCTGTTCTATAACTAATGCTCAATTACAATGATAAAGAAAAGACAGTCTTAGATAAAGGAGACTTAAAAACAAAAATAGAATTAGTAAAATAGGGCAAAGAGCTGATTTAAATATTAAGAGTCACACCCCTAGGTGGGGAGAAAGTATGCTAATAAAACATACATATATAAAAATGAGATACATAGCTAAAACACAGGTATAAAGACATGCTCAATAAAAAACTCCTTGCGTCACTCCCTTATAACCAATTAACAAACAAAAATGCTTATAAAGGTCCAATACTCCTGTATAAAAGATGCTCATAATTAAGACTCTGTGTGCTTGTTACATAAAATTATTCCGCTTACACCTTGTATTGCTAGCAATAAATCTTTATACTTTCACCCCTGGTATCTTTATTGGCTTTTACATACCGGGCACGATCCCAGACTTGAGCTGGGGCTCAACAAAAGCAGGACCATCCTCACCTATATCATCCCAGCCAAGGTTTTTCTAGCCAGGTCTTTTTAGCAGCCTTTTTATTATTTTGATATCATTTTCTACAAGTTTGTTAGACTGTGGATATCTTGGGCTAGAGGTTATGTGTGTAGACTCATATTCCTTTGCAAAATGCTTGAACTCATACCCATCAAATTGTGGTCCATTGTTGTGGACCAGACCTGACCACAACTGGGTTGCTGTTTTTGGCAATGAAATACTGTGTGCTATTACATGCGTTACAGTAGTTGTTCTCAGGTCTTGCCATTTCTGGATAGTGAGAGTAATAGTCTAAAACCAATACAATGTTTTTTTTCAGCATGAGTGAACAGGTCTATGGCTACTTTGGACCATAGAGCCAGTTATTCCTCAGTCACTACCGTTGGCCGTTTTGCTTCACTACGTCTATATTTTTGACAGGCTAAACATGATTTAATATACTTTTCTATGTACATATTCATTTGTGGCCAGTACAGAGTTTTTCTAGCCCTACTTTTGCATTTCTCTATACTTAAGTGTCCTTCATGTATCTCTGTAGTCTGTAACATATTCCGTGGTAATACTTTGGGAACAAGTCTGCCATTTCTAAACAAGAGCCCATCACTTAAATTACTGACAATTCTGCTTCAAAGTGGTTTGAGGACTGGGCATGTACCTGTTTGTATATTCTGATCATGTACCATGGCATCTGTGAGTACAGCCCACACTTCCTCAGAAACTGGGCACATTTTTTTTAACAAATTGACATGTACAATGTCTAATTGTGGGTTTGGTTCTACTTCTGTTCTGTCAAAAGCTCTAGACAGAGTATCCACCACCACTAACTCTCTCCCTGGTTTATATTCTAATCTTAAATCATAACTGCAACTGAAAGAATAGCTCTGTAATCTTGGAGGTGTGTCAGTGAGCCCCCTTTTTGCTATTGCCGTCATTGGCTTGTGATCTGTTTCAGCTAATGCTGGTCTCTCATAAAGGAACAAATGAAACTTTTTACATCCATGTATCAAAGCTAAAGCCTTTTTTACCAGTTTGTGCATACTGACACTCAGTTTTAGTTAAAGTCCTGGAAGCATAGGAGATGGGTCTTCAATTCTTCCCATACTTCTATATGAGTGCTGCTCCTAGGCCCTCCTTAGAGGCATCTGTAGACAGCTTTGTCTGACTTGTGCTGTCATAGTATTTAAGTATTGGAGCCTTTTATAATAACTGTTTTAAGTTCCTGAACTCTTCATCCCGATCTGCTTCTCATATACATTTTTAATTTTTGTGCAGTAAAGCTCTTAGGTTGCAGCACTTTTGTACCAGAAAAGGTACAAATTTCCCCACCAAGTTTTCCTATGCCCAAAAACATTTGCAGTCCTTCCTTATATGTTGGAGGTGGCATTTTAGTAATTGGTTGTACCCCGCTGGGCTCTCTCTGTATACTTTGATCCATTCATTTTCTGCCCATATAGGTTTCTTCTCTGACTCTACATTTGTATGTTTGTCTGTTGTGTTTTAAACTTGCTGATCAAGTGCTTTCCAGAGCTCTCTCAAGTCTCTCATCATGTTTCTCCATGTATGTCCCCATATGTGTTGTATGTATTTATGAAACACTTCGGATGCTGAATGTAACCCAAAGGGCAATCTGCAAAAGTAGAATCTTCTACATGGAGTTCTGAATGTGCACAAATGTCTGCTGTTTTTTTCTAATGGAAGCTGCCAAAACCCAGCTGATGCAGCTAATGTGGAGAATATGTTGCTTGTGACATTTCTCCAAAAATGTATTCCCTAGTAGGAATGGAAACCTGTTCCTTTTATAACATATTTATTACTTTCTTTTGGGTCTAGGCAAAGGCAAAAGTTTCCTTTTTTTGTACTATTACCAAAGAATGAACCCACTCTGTCAGTTCCTCTACTTTCTCAATAGTTGAGCATTCAATTTTTCTAGTTCTGGTTTCAGGCTTTGTCTTATTGCTAAAGGAATATTTCTGGGAGTATGCCTTGTGGGAATATAGAGTTTAGACAGCTCAATTTTATATTTTTTTAAGCTTCCCAAGCCCCTCAAATACATCCTGAAACTTATCTTCAATTTTACTGTGCCCCTCTACGGTATATATTCTCCAAATAAGGCCTAGTGCTTGACAGGTCTTTAATCCTAATATAACCACACATTTTCCTGGCACATCCAAAACTGAATTTTTTTCATTTTAATGTTTTACCTTTCTCTCCAGCTTACATGTGCCAATAGTAGGAATTAACTCCCCACTGCAAGCTTGGAGACTTACCTGATTGCTGTGAATACTTGCTTTTGTTTTCAAACCCTTTACAATATAGTCTGGTGTAATATTGGCTCATGCGCCATTGTCCAGTTTAAAAGTCACGGCACATCTGTTTGCTTCCAGCATGATATTCCAGTTGTGTGATGATACTGTATCTTGTACAGCTCCATATAGCTCCTCTTCTCAGGTGCATTCAGTGTTGCAATTCACCTTGCTGTGCGGTGCTTGCAAACTCTGTTCCTTTCTGTGCCCACAGTCCTCTCCTCTGCACACTCTAGCAAAATGGTTCGTTCTTTTGTATATGTTGCAGCATTGTGCAAAAGCAGAACGTTGCCCTGGTGTATGTGTGTTACCAGCATGTATGGCTCTTCAAGCTGCTCTTCTTAAGCTCTCCTTGATTGCATTTTCAGGCCTCCCCTTGAAATTTCTTTTTTGTCTCTGTTCTTTTCTGAGAGGGTTCATTATTCCATCAAATACTGAGCATCTGGCTTTACTGTCCAAAGACTTCGCTCTAGCCTGGATGATTGCTGCTGCTTTGTACATGCTGTTTGCTTTCTCTAGCTTGAGATCAGGAACCTCCAGCAGTCTTTTCCTGAGCTTCATGGCTCTGATATCTATTACTATCTGATCTCTAATGGAGTCTGTTAATTCTCCAAAATTAAAGGATTGACTCAGCAGCTTGAAATCATTTTCAAATTCCCCAAAGGATTTTCCTTCTTTTTCTGATCCCATGTGGAACTGATATTTTTCCCAAGTCTTATTCTTTTTTTGGAGTGCAATACTCCTTAAACTTTCTGAGCACTGTCTCATAATCAGCCTGCTCTGCTTGGCTCAGTGGCGTACTGTTACATATATCCAGCACCTTAGCACCTGCTGTATTCAGAAAAATAGTTATCTTTTGGACATTTGACTTCTCAGTGGCTCCACTCACCTTCATGTACAGGTTGAATTGTTGCTCAAACCTCTTACAGTTCTCTGCTGCATGACTGAAGAGTTTCAGCTCTGCTGGAGCCTGTAGTTGCTCCACATTTTTCTTTTACTTTTTCTATTTTTAAAGCTCATTCTGTGCAATGTATTCACTTATTTTCAACTACTTCTGGTACCATGTTGCATTATGGAGTCAGTTCACTGAAACAGGAGTCATTTTTCCAAAGAGGTTTCTTTATTCATGTACACACGCGCGCGTGCACGCACAGAGCCATCTCTCTCTCAGTTCCTCTCTCAGTTCTGTTCAACTCCATCTAGCTCTTACAGATATACAATCCTTACAAGAGTGTGTTCAATGCAGGTGGTGTAGAAGGCTGGAAGGGAACAGAGATACAGCAAGAGAGCCACGTGGACTAAACCAGTCATTTATGTCTGTATATAATAGTTATAAGCTAATTGAAGAGACAAAAGTCAATATAAGTGCCCAGGAGTGAACTAGGAGCATACATTACAAATATTACAGTGGCCAACTGAAAGTCTCTTAACCTGGGATTTTCAAAGGCGCTAAAAGGATTTAGGCAGACAAGGTTCCTTGGGTGAATTTGATATCTTTTATTAGACCAACCCAAATAGTTGGAGAATAGTTATTAAGCAAGCTTTCAAGTTCGAAAACCCTTCGTCAGGCTAAGGAAGTTTCTGCAGTTGGTGTGTGCTCTTCCTGGATGGAATGAAAAGTAAAGAAGCCAGGGGCGGGGCGGGGCTGGGGAGTCAGTTGCCATAGGCACCCAGCTTCCACTACCTCTCACACTGATGCTACTGACAAATTGAAATCCCTCCTTCTCTGTGCTTCAAAGAGAAGGAAAGGAACTTGCTGATGAGTTAGGATCCATGTTCAAGACCTCCCAGCTGTCAGCCACGTATGTAGATTTGAATACTTCCTTTACTAAGCATTAACTAATCTCTTCCTTGTCACAGGGAAAG